TTTTTTTTTTCTTAACATATATTGCATTATTTGTTTCAGAGGTACAGATCTGAGATTCAACAGTCTTGCACAATTCACAGCGCTTACCAGATTAGCTCATTATTTTTAATCAAATCATCCCGGTGAAATATAACAAAGTAATAAAAGTACTACTGACAGAGTCCTTCACCGTTTACTAAACATTTTCACAAACCATATTCTATTTACTGTCCTCAACATCCCTGTCAGGTTAGCACCATTGCATTCTGAGATCAGTTCTTGGGCCATCAATTTAGGGCTTACGTTGGATCTTTGCCTTGAAAGATTATTTTCCCCTGCCCTGCTCCTGCATCTGCTCTTGTCCCACACTTGTTAGAGACCTCCTGTCTGGGTTCCTAATTTGGTGCTACTTTGAACCTTAGCCGGGCTTCCTTGGCTGGGTTTCTCATTTCTGTTGGTTTGATTTCTTGGAATTGGGACTCAATAGAGTCTCAATTCAGAACACCTGCTTCTGTTGGCTTCTCTGGAGTTGACATCTGTCAACTCAGCGCTCAATGCCCGGCCGGGGCTCCTCCCATCTAGCTGAACTCCTTCCCCGGCTTGATCTCATCTTGTTGTTGCTCATGCCATAGTGTGACAAGATGAGTAACTTTCTGCATTGGCAGTAAAATTAAAATATTAAAAGTATGCTGTTTTGTTCATAATAAAACACAGGAGATAGGAAAACAAAAAGTTAAAAAAAAAAAACCAATTACTGTGATCATTTACCACACACAAATGTAAATCTAGGCTCTTCTAATCTAAAAGGGTAATGAAGTCTGAAAATTTTGTCATATAGATCTGTAAACTCAACTATACTACCCTTTACATTTAATTTCTTTGCTATTCTGCCTATTGTTTTCCTATCTAGACTTATCTTCCACTTTTCAGATAGTTTTGCTCAGTAACATCTCATCAACAGAAATATCTTCCACCTCATACTTCGGGATTATTGAACAGCCAACATTTATTCATCACCCAAATTTAGTCATATAACCCATTGGTCATCAGCCATTTAAGGTAAGGTGCTTGAGAGTTTTCATGCACAAATAGTGTTCTTCCTTCAGAGATTTTTTATCCTTATTTGACTTTTATTTCATGTACTTTATTTTCATCTGCAGTTCCATCTTAATTTTTCTCTAAATATCATGGCATTTAATGAGCAAACATCCAATCTTCGGTTTTTCATTAATGGCACCATCATCCACTCATATCCCTAAGCCAAAAACCTAGGACATCCTGGATGCCCAGCTTTCCTTCACTTTCTAGAACAAAAGCAGAATCTACTGGCTCTATCCAGAAATATACTGTGACAATTTTATGTGTCAGCTTGGCTAGGACACAGTACCCAGATATTTGGTCAAACACCAGTCTGGGGCACCTGGGTAGCTCAGATGGTTAAGCATCTGCCTTCGGCTCAGGTCATGATCCCAGAGTCCTGGGATTGAGTCCCGCATTGGGCTCCCCGCTCCGCGGGGAGCCTGTTTCTCCCTCTGCCTCTCTCTCTGTCTCTCATGAATAAATGAATAAAATCTTTAAAACAAACAAACAAACAAACAAAAACACCAGTCTGGATGTTGCTGTGAAGGTTTGTTTGTTCATTTGTTTGTTTGATAAGATTAACATTTGAATCAGTAGACTTTGAGTAAAGTAGATTATCCTCAGTACTGTGGGTGGGCCTCATTCAGTCAGTTGAAGGCCTTTAGATATAACAGACAGAGGTCCGTAAAGAGGAAAAATCCCTACCTCCAGATTGCCTTCAGAATTGAAATGCAGTATCAACTCCTTCTTGAGTTTCCAGCCTGCCAGTTTACCCCTGTAGATTTTGGACTTGCCAGCCTTCACAACTGCATGAGCCAATTCCTTCAATATCTCTCAAAAGATAGACAGAAGATGATTGATACATGGATAGATGGTAGATGGATGGATAGATAGATAGATAGATAGATAGATAGATAGATAGATAGATAGAGGGATACACACACATATAAACACACTCACATACCCTTTTGGTTCTGTTTCTCTGGAGAACCCAGACAAATATATATACACTCTAATCCATTCTTTTCTTTCTTTTCACCCTAGACCAAGCCACCATAGTCTTACTCTAGTCTTCCTCTCTTTGAAATGCAAAGAAGATAACACTTGATCGGGGCGCCTGGGTGGCTCAGTTGGTTAAGCGACTGCCTTCAGCTCAGGTCATGATCCTGGAGTCCTGGGATCGAGTGCCGCATCGGGCTCCCGGCTCAGCAGGAAGTCTGCTTCTCCCTCTGACCCTCCCCGCTCTCATGTGCTCTCTCTCTCTCATTCTTGCTCTCTCAAATGAATAAATAAATAAATAAAATATTAAAAAAAAAAGAAGATAACACTTGATCTCCCAGTTTCCTGGGTGAGATGGGTCTAATTTGCTACCTGACTCCAAATTGCAGTACCTCCCTAATGTAATGGGTTGTTTCCACTTAACTATATAAAAGAGTCAGATTTCTTTCTGTTTTTGCAGTCTCTTTAGCGGATTACCTGTGATGTGCATCCCATTCTGGCTGAATGCTTATTCAACCATAACATGTTTTCTTATTCTTCTACCTTTGTGAGAGGTTTTCTAAGTTGGGAGGAGATTTTGTTTTTAACTGTATTTTCTTTTTTTAAAGATTTTATTTACTTATTTGACAGAGAGAGACACAACGAGAGAGGCAACACAAGCAGGGGGAGTGGGAGCGGGAGAAGCAGGCTTCCCGCCGACCAAGGAGCCTGATGTGGGGCTTGATCCCAGGACCCTGGGATCATGACCTGAGCCGAAGGCAGACGCTTAACCAACTGAGCCACCCAGGCACCCCAACTATATTTTCCCAACAATTTAAATCCTTCAAGAGTGTGCTACTGTACACAAGAGAAAAACATCAACCTCCACATCCTAG